AGGCGTTTTTTAAATTTTTTTTTTTTTTTTTTTATAGGGAAGAGTCCACTGTGTTGCCCCAGGCTGGTCTCAAAATTCCTGGGCTCAAAGCGACAAGTCCCACTTGGCCCTCCAAAAATGCTGGGATTACAGGGATGACATGCTGCCCTGGTCATGGACCATCTTTTTTTTTTTTGAGACAGAGTTTCCACTGCTTTTATGCCCAGAGATGGAGTGCAATGGCACGGATCTCGCTCACCGAACCTCCTCCCCGTTGAGGGTTCAAAGCGATTCTCGCTGCTCAGCCGGCCCGAGTAGCTGGGAATTACAGCATGTTGCACACCACCCCGGCTAATTTTGATTATTTAGGTAGAGACGGGGTTATTCCATGTTGGTCAGGGACTGGTCTTGAACTCCCGACCTCAGGTGTCCACCTGGCTCGGATCCAACAAGTGCTGGGATACAAGCTATGAACCACCGGTGCCCGGCCTATGCCATCTTTAAATTTCTTTGTTCTGGCATCAACAGGGGAAGCTGCAGCGTGGGAAATCGCTGTCGGCATGGACAACACACAAGGTACCCTTTATCAACTTCCTATGTGGCTAGCTATGAAGCGCACAAGGGCCAGGTGTCGCGCGCGCCCTCCTCCTTTCTTGCGTCGTCTCGTCCAGTTGCTTTCTTCATGTTTTTTCTCTTCTTTTCTTGGTTCTCTCTTTCGCCGCGGCTCCTCCCTCGCTCGTTGGTCCTCTCGCCTGCCTGCTTCTCCCTCCTGCGCCGTCCCGCCGGTGCCCTCTCTTCTCTCCTCCTCCCCTCTCTTCCTCCTCCCTGCCCGTCCCTCTCTTCTCCGTACTTCCCTTCGATCTCTCTCCCCCCCCCCCGCTCTCCTCTCCTCTTTTCTTTTCTTACTTATGGGATCTCATTTTGTTGTCCAGGCTGGGGTGCAGGGGTGCAATCATGGATCACTGTAGCCTTGACTTCCCATGCTAAAGCAATCTTCCCACCTCAACCTCCCAAGTAACTGGGACCACAGGCATGTGCCACCACCCCAGCTAATTTATTTTATTTTATTTTTTGTAGAGACAGGGTCTCCCTATGTTGCCAGGCTGGTCTGAAACTCCTGGGCTCAAGCAGTTCTCTCGTCTTGGCCTCCCAAAGTGCTGGGATTACAGGCGTGAGCCACGGCACGCAGCCCCAAGTGCTTTCATGCATGATCTCATTTCACGTAATCCTTGGAAACCCCGAGAGACACGCCGATTCCAGCCTATTTCTTAGATGGGGAGACCAGGGCTCAGAGATGTGAGGTACTTGGCCCAAAGTGTTGATAGGGGAGGAGCAGATATTGGAACTCAGGTGTGGCTGACTCCAAAACTGGGGGCTCTTTGGTCTCAGTGTCAAATTTAAAACACTTACTTTGAAATTTAATTCTTTGACTAGCCAATATGAGCCACCTGATTCAAAACTCAGATGCACGGGAAGGTGTGTGGGGGTCTCCTTCCCTGCAGGAGTCAGCTCTGTTCTCTGCTCCCCGGTACCTTCCAGAGCTCCCAGGCACATTTGCATAAGGAAGGGAGCACGCTCTGCCCTCTGGGCTGCCCTGGCCTTTTTCCCGGAATGGTGTGTTATGGCCTGGAGGTGTTCTAACCACACCATATGTATTAGTCCATTTCCACACTGTCGATAAAGACATACCTGAGACTGGGTAATTCATAAAGAAAAGGAGGTTTAATGAACTCACAGCTTCATGTGGCTGGGGAGGCCTCACAATCATGGTGGAAGGTGAAAGGTACGTCTTACATCGCAGAAGGCAAGAGAGAACGGGAGCCAAGCGAAAGGGGAAACCCCTTATCAAACCGTCAGATCTCGTGAGACTTACTCACTCCCAGGAGAACAGTATGGGGGAAACCGCCCCGATTCAATTCAATTCAGTGTGAGAATTATGGGAGCTACAATTCACGATGAGATTTGGGTGAGGACACAGCCAAACCATATAAGCCTCATAAACACTGGGAACGTGTCCCTGTGACACGCAGCATTTAAAGGTTTCTGGTGGCCTCCTTTAGGCAGCTTTCCTGTTCGAAGGGTCTGCTGTGAGATGGGGAATGAGCCCTGTTCCACGCTCGTACCCCCAGTGCCATCTCTTGCCTCCTCCTCAGGCTGGAAACGTGTCCTGCATCTCTCCCGAGTGTCCCCCCGGCCCCTGTCAGACCCCCCCACAGTCAGACTGCTGTGCTTGTGTTCCAGGTAAGTGACACTCTTGGGGCATTTTTATTTTTCTTTTTTTTTTTGAGATTTTTTGTAGACCTCGCTATGTTGCCCAGGCTGGTCTTGAGCCTCAGGTGGTCCTCCTGCTTCAGCCTCTCAAAGTGCTGGGATGACAGGCATGAGCCCCCAAGCCCGTTTTTGCATTTTGCTTCTTTTTTTTTTTTTGAGGGGGAGACTTGCTCTCCAGGCTGGAGTGCAATGGCATGATCTCAGCTCGCTGCAACCTCCGCCTCCCAGGTTTAAGTGATTCTCCTGCCTGAGCCTCCGGACTAGTGAGTAGCTGGGATTACAGGTGCCCACCACCACGCCGGGCTAATTTTTGTATTTTTAGTAGAGACAGGGTTTCACGATGTTTGCCAGGCTGGTCTTGAACTCCTGACCTCAGGTGATCGACCTGCCTTGGCCTCCCAAAGTGCTGGGATGACAGGCGTGAGCCCTGGAGCCTGGTTTTACATTTTGCTTCTTCGTGTGTGCAGGGGAGGTTGTCTTTTGAGTATGCGACGGGGTGGGGTGAGTGGAGGAGTCAGGGAGGAGATTGGTTTCTGCTTTACAAACTCAGATCAAGTGAAGCATTTCAAAGTGGCTGTTTTTATTGTGCACTTTTTATGTGTACAGCAGTTTGATGCTAGACTGTACTCACAGCCCAGCTTTCCCCTGCCTTAGGAGGCACCTTCAGCTCAGGCAGGACCGGGTTTCAGTCCACCTTTGTCATTGCTCTGTCCCAGGGCAGGGAGGGGTCTCTCCTTAGCCACTAATGAGTTGGTCCTTTGTTAAAAACAAGGTTTTATTTCCTGGGATGGCTTCATGACTGTCATGGATGTTCCCTGCTGACCCTGTGCCCCTTGCTGTGTGGGTCACTTGCCGGAACTCCATCTCATGAAACCCTTATGTCACCACTCTAAGGCAGTACTATTTATTGCCCCATTTTATAGATGGGAAGACTGAGACTCGGAAAGTTCAAGTCACTGCCTAAAGGCACACAACCATTAAGTAATGGAGCAGAACTTGAATTCAGATCTACCTGATTTCAAAGCTGGTGTTCTTTTTAAGTATTTTTTTCTTTTTTTTTTTTCTTTTTTTTGAGACGGAGTCTCACCCTGTCGCCCAGGCTGGAGCGCAGTGGCCGGATCTCAGCTCACTGCAAGCTCCGCCTCCTGGGTTTACGCCATTCTCCTGCCTCAGCCTCCCGAGTAGCTGGGACTACAGGCGCCCACCACCTTGCCCAGCTAGTTTTTTGTATTTTTTAGTAGAAACGGGGTTTCACCATGTTAGCCAGGATGGTCTCGATCTCCTGACCTCGTGATCCGCCCGTCTCGGCCTCCCAAAGTGCTGGGATTACAGGCTTGACCGTGCCTGGCCAGTATTTTTTTCTTAATATTTAAATGTTATTTTTAATTGACTTATTTTTGCATAGTCAATGTAGTCTGGATGAGATAGGAACCCTTATCAGTCCCATTGTACAGATGAGAAAACTGAGGCTTAGAGAGCTTTAAGTGTCTTGCCCAAAGTCATTCCCTGGTGAGTTGTGTAGCTAGGATTTGAGCCCAGGGCATTCTAACAGCAGGTGACCCTGGGCAGTTTCTAAGGCTGTTTTTTCACTGGAGTGGATCTTCGAATCAAAGGCTCTCCCCAGATTCTCATAGCCTCCAGGGGGGTGGTAGCAACATTTGTCTAACGTGGCACCTTTGTCTTAGGTGTCTGGGACAGTCTCTTTTTCTTTCATTTTTTCTGTTATTCTTTAGTTATTTAGGGCTTCCCCTGCCTTTTTTAGTTAAGGACCTCGTCTTACATGTGATTCATTCTTTGTCAGATTTTTTGTTGTTGTTGAGATGGGGTCTTGCTCTGTCGCCCAGGCTGCAGTAGAGTGATGCAATCACTATAACCTGAACCCCTGGTTTCAAGCCATCCTCCTGCCTCAGCCTCCTGATTAGCAAGGACTACAGGCACACACTGCTGCACTCAGCTAATTTTTAAAAGTTTTTGTAGAGATGGGGTCTCGCAGACTGGCCTCGAACTCCTGGGTGCAAGAGATCCTCCCACCTCGGCCTCCCAGAATGTTGGGATTACAGGCGTGAACTGCCATACCCAGCCCTTGTTTTGTGTCTGGGGTTTGAAGGGGGAGAAGTGCTTTGGGTTCCTGGGCATGGAGCATGCTTGGAGCATGCTGTGGAGTGTCATGGGTGGGTGTTAAATGCCCCGGGGCTCCCCACCCATTTGTTCCCCGTTTTCTTTAGCTGCCTCTGCCCAAAGACCTTGAGCTGCTCCCTTTCTCCTCTGCAGTGAGATGCTATTTCCACGGCCGGTGGTACGCGGACGGGGCCGTGTTCAGTGGGGGTGGTGACGAGTGTACCACCTGTGTCTGCCAGGTATGGTGGTGGAGCGTCCCGAAGCCTGTGGAATTGATGGGGAGGGGAGCGAGGCACAGCGCTTTACTCAGGTTGACTTGACTAGGAGAACATGAGCTGCCATACAGCAACAGGGAAACTGAGGAAACAAAGGCACTACAGGGATCCCCCAGGCCTTCCCGCAGTCTCTTTGAACTTCATCTTTCAGCACTGCTATTTACAGAGCACCTACTGTGTGCTGGGGACACAGCTGAGCACAAGGAAGTCCCAGTCCCCTTAGTCCAGAAGCCCACAGCCTAGGTGGGTTGATGGCCAGGGGCCCAGGACTCCTGATGCCTTTTTGGAAGGCGGGATGTTAAGTAGAGATCTAGAGCGTGGCGGGGACTCATCAGGCAGGGAGCTGAGGTTGCTGTACCCAGCAGAGCGTGGAGGACTGGAGATGGCCATTCTGGCTGGAGCACGGAGAGAAGCAGGCAGGCAGCAAGGCTGCAGGAAGGGGTTGCATCTTGGGTTGTGTTCCCTAGAAGCAGGGCCTGTGCAGGCGACTTACCAAAGGAGTGCTCTCAGGAGAAACCAGCGAGGGAAGCAGGGTGAAGGTGTGGTTTCACACTGATCTCTGGGAAGCTCTGGACAGTGGACCGCGCTGGGGAGCAAGGCTCTTGCACCCCAGGGCCAGTCAGTTATAGAGACTCTCTGTGTTCCCCAGGGAGTGGGGGCAGTGACCATCCAGGCATCTCTGGAGGATGCAGCTGCCGCCAGCCACTGGCAGCACTTCAGAGACAGGACCTGGGTGGGCACTGACAGCCTCTGCCCTGACTCAGTCCTGAAGGGCTCCACCAGCTGCATTGAGGGCTTTGCACTCAGTCAAGCTGCGTGGAGGGATGCGATCGGATTGTGCTGGAGAAAGTTCTCTGGCTGCGGACCAAGAGACGATTGGAGGGGCCAGAGTGGAAGACAGTAGGGAGCCTGGATGGCAGCGGGAGGCTGAGAGATGGTGGACACCGCGCCTATTCCCAGGATGCCCTCCTGGGCTCACACCCAGCCCCCATTGAAGGACTGCGGGTTCTCCCCACCCCACTGTTGTGCTCCCTGGAGATTTCTGTGTCAGTTTCACTTGAGTAGTGGGAGGGTGATGGCAGCCTGCCAGCCTCCTCTAGCTCTCCATGGTCTCCAGGCGGGGCGCTGCCCTCATCATTCTGTGCCTGGGCTCTCTTCCAGAATGGGGAGGTGGAGTGCTCCTTCATGCCCTGCCCTGAGCTGGCCTGCCCCCGAGAAGAGTGGCGGCTGGGCCCTGGGCAGTGCTGCTTCACCTGCCAGGAGCCCACACCCGCGACAGGTGAGCTGGCCCAGGGCTGCCCCGACACAGGGCAGGGCGTGGATGCTGGGGAGAGAGGCTGAGCTCCACCTGTTGAGACTGCTGGTGTGTGTGTGTGTGTGTGTGTGTGTACATACATCTGTCTGTGCGTGTGTATGAGTGTGAGTCTGTTTTGTGTAGTGTGTCTCAGTGTGTGCCTGTATAAGTTTGTGTGTGTCTGAGTTTGTGAGTGGTTATCTGTGTGTTGGTGTGTTAGTAGTACCTATGTATGGGAGCCTGTGTATGTGTGTCTTTGTATTTATGTATATGAGTGTGTGTCTGTGTTTTGTGTAGTATGTCTATGTGTATCTCTGTGGGTGTGTATGTGTGTGTGTGTCTGTGTTTTTGTGTGTGCCTGTGTGAGCATGCATGTTTGTGTCTCTTGTGTCTGCATATGTGTCTCTTGTGTCTGCATGTGTGTGTGTGCATGTAAGTGTATGAGTGTGTCTGAGTGTAAGTTTGTGTGTCTGAGAAATGTGTGTGTCTGTGAGCATGTATATGTATGTGTGCATTTGTATGAATGTGTGTAAATTTGTGTACATGTGTCTTTGCCCGTGTACAAGTGTGTATCTGTGTGTTGTGTAGTATGTCTTAGTGTGTGCCTGTGTGTGTGTTTCTGTGCTTGTGAGTTTTCTGTGTGTGTGTGTCAGTGTGTTAGTGGTATCTGTGTGTGGGAGTCTGTGTACCTATGTCTTTATGTATGAGCATGTGTCTGCTTTGTGTAGTATGAGTGTGTCTCTGTGGTATTTATGTGTGTGTCTGGTTTTGTGTTTTTGTGTGTGCCTGTGTGAGCATGCATGTTTGTGTTTGTTGTGTCTGTATATGTGTATGTGCATGTAAGTGTTTGATTCTATGAGTGTGTCTGTGTGCAAGTTTTGTATCTCTCTGTGTGAGTAGTATCTGTGTGTGTGAGTATATGTATGTAAGTGTATTTCTATGAGTGATGTGTTGAGTTGTATCTGTGTGTGTATTGTAAATGTGCATTTTGTGTATGTGTGTGTCTTCTGTGGTGTTGTGCATGAATGGCATCTGCGTGCATGTGTAAGTGCATTAGTATGAGTGTATGTGTGTCTCTGTGAACTGTATCTGTGTGTGTGTATAAATATGCATTTGTATGAGTGTGTGTATGCATGAATGGTATCTGCGTGCATGTGTAAGTGTGCATTAGTATGAGTGTATGTGTGTCTCCGTGAACTGTATCTGTGTGTGTGTATATATAAATATGCATTTGTATGAGTGTGTGTGTCTGTGCATGAATGGTATCTGTGAGCATGTGTATGTGTATGTAAGTACATTTGTATGCGTGTATGTGTGTCTGTGTTGTATCTGTGTGTGTATGCAAATGTACATTTGTATCAGTATGTGTGTGTCTCTGTGTTTGTGCATGAATGGTATCTGTGTGTGTGTATTTAAGTGTGCATTTGTATGAGTATGTGTGTGTGAGTTGTATCTGTGTGTATATGTAAGTGTGCATTTGTATGAGTGTAAGTTTGTGTGTCGATGTGTGTGAGTGATATCAGTGTTTGTGTGTGTGTGTGCGCATAAGGTGTCTGTCCTTGCTGCTGTTGTAGTCTAGGTCTTGTGCCCACTGTCTTTTCTTTGCCATTGTCCTCATCCAGGCTGCTCTCTCGATGACAATGGGGTTGAGTTTCCAATTGGACAGATCTGGTCGCCTGGTGACCCCTGTGAGTTATGCATCTGCCAGGTGAATGACAACCTGCTCGCCTTCAGCTGCTTTACCCGGCTGCCCGGCCTCACCCAGAGGAGACAAGCGTCCTGGCCCCTCCAGAGGCTGGCCTTAGGCTGGCTGCAGTCTCCCTCCAGCACTGTCAAGTTCCACTTTCACAGAAAGGGTTGGACGCAGTTTATCCTGCCCTCGGTAGATGTGTGAGGACCGTGGTGGTTGGCAGTTGGCCTTAAGAAGTGCGTATGGTTGGCTGGGCGCAGTGGCCCACGCCTGTTATCCCAGCACTTTGGGAGGCTGAGGTGGGTGGATCACAAGTTTAGGAGATCGAGGCCATCCTGGCTAACATGGTGAAACCCCGTCTCTACTAAAAATACAAAAAATTAGCCAAGCATGGTGGCGGGTTCCTGTAGTCCCAGCTACTTGGGAGACTGAGGCAGGAGAATCATTTGAACCCAGGAGGAGGAGGTTGCAGTGAGCTGAGATTGTGCCACTGCACCCCAGCTTGGGCAACAAAGCAAGACTCCATCTCAAAAAAAAAAAGTGTGTATGTCCAAGAGTGGTGGCTCACGCCTGTAATCCCAACACTTAGGGAGGCTGAGGTGGGAAGATTGCTTGAGCCCAGGAATTTGAGACCAGCCTGGACAACATGGAGAGACCCTGTCTCTACAAAAAAAATACAAAAATTAGCTGCGTGTAGTGGCATGCCCCTGTAGTCCCTGCTACTTGGGAGGCTAAGGTGGGAGGATCGCTTCCTCAGCTCCTGAGGCTGACCCAGGAGGTCGAGGCTGCAGTGAACTGTGATCACATTACTGCATTCCAGCCTGGGTGAAAGAGAAAGACCCTGTTTCAAAAAAAAAAAAAAAAAGTGTGTGTAACACACTGTGCATGTGCAGGGAGCTGCTGGCATGAGGAGTAAGAATTAGGAATCTTCATAGAAGGTTTTCCCCAGGCATGGATAACTGAGGGAGTGGGGCAGCCTGAGACCTAGTTGTTCAGGCTGTTTCTGTGAAATTGCAATGTTTTCTTCATGACTGCAAATCGTGTGACCTCACCATTTCAGAAATGGGTAAGGAGGTGCATGAGTTTGAGTCAGATGGACAGCAATGCAAACATAGCTATCCAGCCAGAAATACAACTCTTGTAGCTCATTATTGAAGCACTAGTCATTGCGGGTTTTTTTACCATTACATATAATGGCAAAAACCGCAGTTTTGCACCAATCTAATACATGCTGGCTTTCCTTTCTACTTTAAGAGCTTCGAGTCTTTTAGAGGTTTATTTCTCAAAATGAGGTCTCTTGCACCTGCGTTGGGAGCTCTGGTTAGACGTGCAGGCTTTCGAGGCCCCGCCCACACCTCTGCCCTCAGAAACTGCATTTTAACCTCTAGGTGATTTGTGTGTACTTTCATGTGGGAGAAGCCCAGCCTTCTAGTGCCTTCGATGAGCCGTTGGTTAAAAAGCTGTAAGCTGAACACGTCTCATTGAAATTAGAGTCGGGAGGAAAGTCCATCCTGTGCTATCTTCTCCTTTATGACTGATTTCGGGCACTCATAATCAGTCACCGAGAGAGTGATACAAAAGGGTCAAACTGTCAGATTTTTTTTTTTTTTTAAAGAAAAAGAGTCCGGGTGCGGTGGCTCACGCGTATAATCCCAGCACTTTGGGAGGCCGACATGGGGGGATGATCTGAGGTCACGAGTTCAAGACCAGCCTGACCAACATGGTGAAACCCCGTCCCTACTAAATATAAAAAAATTAGCCTGGCATGGTGGTGCGTGCTTGTAATCCCAGCTACTCAGGAGACTGAGGCAGGAAAATCGTTTAAACCAGGGAGGTGGAGGTTGCAGTGAGCCAAGATTGCGCCATTGCACTCCAGCCTGGGCAATATTGAGTAAGACTCTGTCTTAAAAAAAAAAAAAAAAGAAAAGAAACCTTGTATGGCACTTTGGCTCTCTGAAATAGATGTTTCTGGTGGCATTGTTTTTTCTAAAAATAATGTTTTATGGTACTCTGTAGGTTCCCGGTGAGCCAGGTTTCCAGGGAAAAGGTGAGAAAGGATTTGGATGGGGGTAACGGTGCAGCCTTTGGCTGCTACAGGAAGCCGAGGAGACCAGAATCCCAGCCCTGACTTTCCTTCTCCTTAAAGATGCGTAGACTTCCTGGAAGGCTCACATGGCCTTTCCCAAGTAACTGGTCCTCTTTAGGGGGACCTGCCACCTTTCAGCTGCATCATGGTGCCTTTCAGGGCAAGCCTTGGCCAGGTTGCTACATTGCCGTTTCTTTTGCAGGGCGGGGAGGCAGGGGCTGGTGTCACCGGTGGGGTCTTGGTGAAGTTCCTCCTTCCTCCAGGCAGATGGCTCGGTGAGCTGCAAGAGAACAGACTGTGTGGACTCCTGCCCTCACCCGATCCGGATCCCTGGACAGTGCTGCCCAGACTGTTCAGCAGGTAATCCCCTGCCTCCGCCCCCAGCCCCCAGGGCAGGGCATCTCAGGGGGTCCCACCTCCAGGTTCACCCTGCACCGGGCTCCTTTGCGCTAAGCCCTATACAACCTTCATCTCTTGTCCTAACAACCCCAAGGAACAACCCCATTGCACAGATAGAGAAACTGAGGTAAAACAGTTTGCCCAAGTCAGGCCGCGTCTGAGTGCTGGAGGCAGATCTGAAGACATGCAGGACTTACAGTGCAGGTGGGCGGTACAGGAGCTGTACCTGTGAGACAATGGGAAAACAGCAAGAGGAGAGAAGTTTTAATAGTCATTTTTGCCTTTTAATAGTCATTTTTACCTTTTCCATGATTTCAGAAGTAATGTTTTATTATAGAAAATTTATTTTATTTTATTTTACTTGTTTTGAGACAGCCTCGCTCTGTCGCCCAGGCTGGAGTGCAGTGGCACAATCTCAGCTCACTGCACCCTCCGCCTCCTGGGTTCAAGCGATTCTCCTGCTGCAGCCTTCTGAGTAGCTGGGATCACAGGCGCCCACCACCATGCCCAGCTAGTTTTTGTATTTTTAGTAGAGACGGGGTTTCACCATGTTGGCCAGGCTGGTCTCGAACTCCTGACCTCAGGTGATCTACCTGCCTCGGCCTCCTAAAGTGCTGGGATTACAGGCGTGAGCCAACGCACCCAACTCCATTATAGAAAATTTAGGAAAAAAGCACAGAAAGCAAAAATAAAAAATATTAACAAGGACCTATTATGACTGTTAAATTTGTGTTTATGTCCTTCTAGTCTCTTTTTGTGATGCTCACACACATTTAGTAGATGTACATTTTACATATATTTTTTTATATATATATATATATATATTTTTTTTTAAAGCTTCCCCTACTATCTTATCACCTGCTTTTACACTTACCAGTATGTTATAGTATCATCACTCAGATCAGGCTTCTGGGGCTGTCAGGAATCAGAGAGGGGAGTGGTGTTGGGGAATGTTCTGGACAGGCGGGGTTGGTGGTTTGACTGAGTTTGGAAGGCAGAGAGGAGTTGGGGGGCCTCACACATACCTCGTATTTCCAGTCCTTCCGCCTGATCCCCCCTGGTGAGGAGGTAGAGGACGAATCTCCCCACTCTCCAGGGTGAGAATACTGAGGCCAAGACACTTGATCCTTTTGCTGAATCCGGTGGGAAAAAAGTCAATACACGATTGAGACAATCCAGACAGGCATTTCGTTCCTTCCCTAACTCCCAGGGTGACTGCCTGGGGAGGCACATGGCCTCCCGTTTGCTATCCAGATAAGCCTCTGACCTTGGCCCTGGCGGGGAGCCTGGTCCCTGGCCACTCCCAGCTGGTGCTCAGCACGTGCTCTCTCTGGCAGGCTGCACCTACACAGGCAGAATCTTCTATAACAACGAGACCTTCCCGTCTGTGCTGGACCCATGTCTGAGCTGCATCTGCCTGGTATGGACCACCCAGATCTGACCCCTGCCTCTGGAAACTCCCCCACAACTGACATCGGCTCCTGAATCCCAGAGGCAAAATCCAGAGACCTCCACGACAAGGGATGCTTCTGGTTCATGGTGGAAGTCAGCTCCCTCCAGTCCTGCCCAGGGTGACCCTTTAGACAGGGCCAGATAAATTTTTTTTGTTTGTTTTTGAGATGGAGTCTTGCTTTATCATCCAGGCTCCCAGGTTGGAGTGCAGTGGTGCAATCTCAGCTCACTGCAACCTCCACCTCCCGAGTTCAAGCGAATCTCCTGTGTCAGCCTCCCGAGTAGCTGGGACTACAGGCATACACCATCATGCACGGCTAATTTTTGTATTTTTGGTAGAGACGGGGTTTCGCCGTGTTGGCCAGGCTGTTTCTGAACTCTTGAACTCAGGTGATCTGCCCACCTCAGCCTCCCAAAGTGTTGGGATTACGGGCATGAGCCACCATGCCCAGCCCAGATAAATGTTCTTAAACCTGGCTGGCAAAGTCCTCTGCTTCCGGATTACCCACTAGAGATGGTCTCAGGGATTCTTGATGAGGGTGGAGGTGAAGCGCACAAACCTAGAACCCAGTACTGGAACCTTTTCAATAGACCCACATGGTCAAGCTCTTGCTGTGTGCCAGGCCCCTCATAGGCATGCACTCAGCTAATCCATTCCAGAATTTATCATCTCATTCTTCTGGATGAGAAAACCAAGGCACAGAGAGAGTCTTTGCTTAAGATCCCACAACTAGTTAATCAAAGTACTGAGAATGGAACCCTAGCATTGTGATTCTGAGATGCACATGTATTCTCCTGAGTCATACTGCCCCTCATTCAGTCTGAAAAAGCATGTCACGTAGTATCATTTAATTTTTGGAGAATGAAAACAAATTTTTTTTTTTTTTTTTTTTTTTTTGAGACAGGGTGTTGCTTTGTTACCCAGGTTGAAGTGCAGTAGTGTGATCATGGCTCACTGCAACCTTGAACTCCTAGGCTCAAGCGATCGTCCCAAGTAGGTGGGATCACACCCAGCCAGGATTACCGCCACACCTGGCTAATTAAAACGTTCTTTTCATAGAGATGGGGTCATGTTGTATTGCTCAGGCTGGTATGGAACTTCTGGGCTCAGGCAGTCCTCCCACCTCGGCCTCCCAGGGTTTTGGGATTACAGGCATGAGCCATTGCACCCAGGCAAAAAGTTTTTTCTTTTTTAAAAGTTTATTTTATAAAATTTTTATATAAAAAATATTTTTATATAAAAAATATTTTTTTAAATAAAAAAAAATCTTGCTGTGTTGCCTAGGCTGGTCTTGAATTCCTGGCCTCAAGTGATCCTCCTACCTCACCTTCCCAAAGTGCTGGATTATAGGCGTGAGCCACTATGCCCAGATGAAAAAAAAATTGTTTTATTTATTTTTTTTGAGACAGTCTTGCTCTGTCGCCAGGCTGGAGTGCAGTGGCACAATCTTGGCTCACTGCAACCTCTGCCTCCCACGTTCAAGCAATTCTCCTGTCTCAGCCTCCTGAGTAGCTGGGATTACAGGTGCGTGCCACCACGCCCGGCTAATTTTTGTACTTTTAGTAGAGTCGGAGTTTTGCCATGTTGGCCAGGCTGGTCTCGAACTCCTGATCTCAAGTGATCTGCCCGCCTCGGCCTCCCAAAATGTTGGAATTACAGGAGTGAGCCACCGCTCCGGGCAAAAAATTCTTAATGCTTATTATGCTGACGGTCTGAATGTGGGATGACGCTGCTTTGCTGGCGTGGGTACAGATGCAATACTCCTTTGGTGATCTGTGAGCCTCAGCAGAGTGCATGCGTGACAAGGGACACCATCTGCAGAAAGATTGAGAAACTCAGGGTAAACAGCCCTGGGCTACTTACCCTGAGTGACCCACTGCACGTAGGCCCCAATTGTCCTCAGCCTCGGGCTTTGGGGAACTTTGGCCCCTGGATCTTCCTCTCTTGGGTTTTGGTGCTCATCTTTTCTGGGCAGTTCATGCAACAGGCATCTGTTAACAGATGCACTCCGTGGACAGGGCCATGTTCTTACCTTTGAGGGGCTTGAATTCTAGTGGGAAGATGGACCCCAACAGAGAAAACGTGCCCCCTGCTCCACTGTCCCACCATGGACTCCTCCTACAATGTTGATCATTCTGATGAGCACTCAGTGGCTATAGGAGCGGCATTTTCCTGAGTGTCTCATCAGCTGCCCTGAACCGAGGGCCTTGTGTGTTTTCTGTGTCTTGCAGCTGGGCTCAGTGGCCTGTTCCCCCGTGGACTGCCCCATCACCTGTACCTACCCTTTCCACCCTGACGGGGAGTGCTGTCCCGTGTGCCGAGGTGAGTGGGACCAGCTACCCCACGTGTGAGGCTCCCGGCCAGGCCTTGGCTCTCATGGGCTCCTGTCTCCTCTGCCTCCACAGACTGCAACTACGAGGGAAGGAAGGTGGCGAATGGCCAGGTGTTCACCTTGGATGATGAACCCTGCACCAGGTGCACGTGCCAGGTGAGCTGGGCCTGGGAACCCAAGAGCGGCCCCAGAAGAGGGCGGCTTCTTGCCTTTTGTCCCTTTGCAAAACATGGAGCCCCTTAGCTGGCATAAGTCCATCCTCCTGCCATCCTCCACCTTTAATTAACTGCCAGAATATCTGTGGTTTTGACCATCTCTCCCTCTGTGGAAGTCCAGAGGGAGAAGTGGTTTCCCTAAGGGGGTCCTGCCATGGCTGGCTTTACCTGTTCTCCAGGTGAGGGCTCAGGCACTGCAGCCTCTGTCCCGGGATCTTTCCGTGGGTCCTGCTGCTGGTGCAAGAGGCCCTTGAGGGCACTGCCCAGGGCAGGCAGGATGCTCTGGGCTTCCTCATGGGGGTCCTTCTGCTTCCCCAGCTGGGAGAGGTGAGCTGCGAGAAGGTTCCCTGCCAGCGGGCCTGTGCTGACCCTGCCCTGCTCCCCGGGGACTGTTGCTCTTCCTGCCCAGGTAAGTGGGCCTCTGGGTCCTGGAGTGTCTCCACCATTTTATTCCATCTTGCTTTTCTTCCCCAGTACGTAGAACTTATAAAGGGCCGGATGAGAGAAAGCCAGGCTCAGAGAGGGAACACAGCTCGCGCACGGTTGTACAGCTGTGCTGTGACCTGCTGACCCTCGTCCCATGCTCATGATGCCACACACGATGGTGTTTGTTTATTTGTACTCTGTTTTTCTTCTTTATCTCCTTTCTTAATCTCTTCCTCTGCTTTCTTCTTTATTTTAAATTACAACATGGGAACTAAGTCCGTTTTACAGAAGAGTAATCTCTAACATGCATTGAGCACCCACTGTGTGCCGCGACACCTCATGTGTCTATACCCCTGCAATACTCCTGTCATCCTGTGCCAGGTGAGGAACAGACCCAGGGAGGTGAAGTGCTGTGCTTGAGTTCACATAGCTGATTGGTGGTAAAGCCAGGATTTCAGCCTGGAGTCGATGCTTTTAGATAGGACAGTGGATTGATTCCCAACAACTGATGCCACTGTACTCCAGCCCGGGCCACAGAGAGACACTGTCTCTAAACAACACAAAACACAACACATATTCCTCCTGTCCCACTGAGATTTTGTACCCTTTGACAATCATCCCTCCATTCCTCTCGCCGCCACCAGCCTCCGTAACCACGATTCTACTCTCTGCTTCTTTGGGTTCAATCATTTTGGATTCCACATAAAACTGAGATTTTGCAATGGTTGTCTTTGTGTGTCTGGCTTATTTCGCTTAGCAAAATGTCCTCCAATTTCATCCATCTTGTTGCAAATGACAGAATTTCCTTTTTCTTTTTTTGAGGATTCTTACTCTGTCACCCAGGCTGGAGTGCAGTGGCGCTATCTCAGCTCACTTCAACTTCCGCCTCCCAGGTTCAAGTGATTCTTGTGCCTCAGCCTCCTGAATAGCTGGGATTATAGGCGCATACCGCCACGCCCGGCTAATTTTTGTATTTTTAGTAGAGACAAGGTTTCACCATGTTTGTCAGGCTGGTCTCGAACTTCTGACCTTAAGTGATCCGCCCCCTTCGGCCTCCCAAAGTGCTGGGATTACAGGCGTGAGCCTGTCATTTCCTTGTTTTAAAAGGCTAAATAATATTTCATTCTGGATAAAGAAATGTGGTATATGCACAAAATGAAGTACTATTAACGGACACTTAGGTTGGTTCCGTAGCTTGGCTACTGTGAATAGTGTCATAGTGAACACAGGAGTGCAGCTGTCTTCTCCAAACTGACTTTAAATCTTCTGGGTAAATACTCAGCAGTGGGATTGCTGGATCTATTTTATGTTTTTTAAACTTCTAGGAAGACAGGGATTTTTTTCACTGATGGTGGCCTGAATTTCCTTTTTTATAAAATATTTGTTTAACTCCTTTGACCTTTCGAAGAGTATGCTCTGTTTTCGGGGGCAGCTCTTCAGATCTGTGGATGATGAGCTTTTAGGGCAGGTGGCGCCGGGAATATCCACTGAGCCTTTAAATCCATCATGTTGGGGACATCATAGATTGTACTTCATTGTAACCACCACAAACTTCTCTGCATGCTAGTGGATATTAGTCCCCTGACTGTCTAGAGACTGATTGCTAGCTAACATGCCAGGCAGTTTACTCAGCATTTTATACCTTAAATGTATTACCTCATTTAAATGTTCATGGAATGTTCCAGCGTGGCTGCCATGTTCCCCATTTTGCAGGTGGGGAAATGGAGGCTCAAAGAAGTTAAGTTTCTAGTTGGTGTGTAAGACTTAAGCCTATCCTGTGCTCTTCCCCATCCTGCCTTCCTACCTCCACATGGGGAAACTGAGGCCCAAAGAGGTGACCTCCAGGCCTGGCATGGTGGCTCATGCCTGTAATTCCAGCACTTTGGGAGGCTGATGTGGGCGGATCGCCTGAGGCCAGGAGTTCGAGACCAGCCTGTCCAATGTGGTGAAACCCTGTCTCTACTAAAAGTAGAAAAATTAGCCGGGCATGTTGGTGCACGCCTGTAATCTCAGCTATTTGGGAGGCTGAGGCAGGAGAATTGCTTGAACCTGGGAGATGGAAGTTGCAGTGAGCTGAGACTGCCCCCTGCCCTCCAGCCTGGGCAACAGAGCAAGACTCTGTCTCAAACAAAAACAAAACAAAGAGGTAACCTCCAGAGCCCAGCTCCTTCTCCTGAAACATGTTATGTTTACCACATACTTCTTATTAACAAGAACTCCCTTTAAGGGAAAACAACTTTTTATTAAAGTAGAATATGTTTTCTTTTGATGATTTTTTTTTTTTTTTTTGAGACAGGGTCTCACTCTGTTGCCCAGGCTGGACTGCAGTAGTGTGATCACAGCTCACTGTAGCCTCGACCCCCTGGGCTCAAGCAATCCTCCTACTTCAGTCTCACAAGTAGCTGGGACTACAGGTGCGTGTCTCCATGCCTGGCTAATTTTTTGTTTTATTTCCAAGCCCATGAAGTGATAAACGCTTGGCTAATTATTTTATTTTATTTTTTTAGAGACACTATCTTGCTGTGTTGCCCAGGCTGGTCCCAACTCCTGGACTCAAGCGATCGTCCCGCCTTGGCCTCCCAAACTGTTGAGATTATAGGCATGAGCCACCGAGCCCAGCCTCTTTTGATGATTTTTTAAAAGTATAACAGCTTTCTTAGGATATAGTTCATATATCATACGTTCACACATTTAAAGTATATAATTCAATCATTTTAAGCATATTTTTAGAGTTATGCAACCATCTGTTAATACGAATAGTTGATTTTTAAAATATAATCATTCCAGTTTTTTATGTGCTTGACAACATCTGATTTTTCCTTGATCATACCTTTGATACTCTTTCTTCTTCTTTTTTTTTTTTTTTTTTTTTTGAGATGGAGTCTCGCTCTGTTGTCCAGGCTGGAGTGCAGTGGCATCATCTCGGCTCACTGCAACCTGCATCTCCCAGGTTCCAGCAACTCTCCTGCCTCAGCCTCCCGAGTAGCTGAACTACAGGCACCACCATGCCTTGCTAATTTTTGTATTTTTAGTAGAGATGGGGTTTCACCATGTTGGCCAGGATGGTCTCAAGCTCATGACCTCAAGTGATCCATCCACCCAGCCTCCCAGAATGCTGGGATTATGGGCATGAGCCACTGTGCCTGGCCTGATACTCTTTCTTTTTTTGCTTCTTCACTCTTCATTTTCTTTTTGCTGAGCTGCTTCCTTTTTTCACAAATGATTCCTGACTTTCTGGTGGTTTATCTTAATGATTTTTTGACTTTACAAGGTACAAAACCATCAAAATTTTGCTGTATTTTGAATTTTGATCTTTTCCTGGGTTATCAATATGTGACACATGGATATTCAGCACTTTATTAAAAAAATAGGATTTGACTTAGATGATTTTGCCCAACTGTAGGCCAGTGTAAGTGTTCTGAACACACATAAGGTTGGCCAGGGTTCAGGAAGTGAGCTGTATTAAATGCATTTTTGCTGGGCACCGTGGATCACGCTGATAATCCCAGCACTTTGGGAGACTGAGGCAGGAGGATCACTTGAGCTCAGGAGTTTGAGACCAGCCTGGGCAACAAAGTAGGATCCTGTCTCTACTAAAATACAGTAAAAGTAAAGTAAAGTAAAAAGTAAAGTAAAATAAAATAAAATATAAAATAAATAAATACTAGCCAGGTGTGGTAGCATGTGACTGTGGTCCCAGCAACTAGGAGAGCCAACGTGGGAGGATCACTTGAGCCCAGGAGGTCTAGGGTGCAGTGAGCCATGTTCACACCACTGCACTCCAGCCTGGACAACAGAGTGAGAACCTGTCTCAAAGAAGGAAAAAAAAAAAAAAAAAAAGCCTTTTTGGTTTTTTTGGTGAAACGGAGTCCTGCTCTGTCTCCCAGGCTGGAGTACAGTGGCATGATCTCAGCTCACTGCAGCCTCTGCCACCCGGGTTCAAGTGATTCTCGTGCCTCAGCCTCCCGAGTAGCTGGGACTACAGGAACACACCACCACGTCCGGCTAATTTTTGTATTTTTAGTAGAGATGGGGTTTCACCATATTGACCAGGCTGGTCTCGAACTCCTGACCTCAGGTGATCCGCCCGCCTTGGCTTCTCAAAGTGTTGGGATTACAGGCGTGAGCCACTGTGCTTGGTCAGAAATGCATTTTTGATTTACAGGTTTATTGGGATGTGACCCTATTGTAAGTCGAGGCACATCTGTGTTTATTTTCTCCTTGTATGCTGAGCCTTTATGATGTGCCAAGCCCTAGGCTGAGACTTTTCTAAAAATTCTTCAAAGAAACTATTTTTTAGAACAGTTTGAGGCTCATGGCAAAATTGAGTGGAACGTAGAGAGTTCCCATATGTCTCGGACTCCACACGCCACAGCATCGCCCCCTATTAGCACCCCACACCAGTGTGGCATGTTTGTTATAATCGGTGATCCCGCACTGACACTGACATGTCATTGACATCCAGTGTCTATAGTTCACATTGAGGTTTAGGCTGAGACTCTCCATGCACCCTTTCATTCACACTCGGTCCTTACTGCTGTGCCCATTTTACAGATGAGGAAACAGAGGCCCAGGGGAGTTGCATGCCTTGCGTGAGGTCACACAGCTAACTGCCTGCCTCCCTCCGTTCATGGCTCCTTCAGTCTTCCCTTCCTGGAGGCAGTTGCTGGCTGGTCCTCACCAGGTGTGCTGAGGCCCCTCCGAGGACAGAGCTTGGGTGTCCCTGGTGTACCTTGTCCCAGAGCCACCTTGGCCACTGGAGAGAACCATTGTGCATCTCGTTTCGCCCTCCTCTCTCTAGATTCCCTTTCTCCTCTGGAAGAAAAGCAGGGGCTCTCCGCTCACGGAAATGTGGCGTTCAGCAAAGCTGCTAGGAGCCTGCATGGAGACACTGAGGCCCCTGTCAACTGTAGCTCCTGCACTGGGACCCCAATAGCATCACTCTCGAGGCCGGCGCTCCATCTGCTTCAGCTCCTTTTAAGAACGAACTTGACAAAAACACAGACTTTACCTACAAGCCCAGCAGGAGCTCTTGGTCCACACTCACCGGCTTTGGGGCCCACAGGCACTTTCCCAGGGGAGCCTGGGGCCTCCCCTCGACTCTCACCAGGGCCTTCGACCCCTCCAGGAGCCCCCACTCTACCTCTAGCTTCCCCAGGGGCTCCTCAGCCACCTCCTGTGACTCCAGAGCACTCATTCTCAGCCTCTGGGGCCCAGATAGCGTCCAGGTGGCCTCCTCTGCCTGCCACCCTCCTGACAGAAGCTTCAGCACTTTCCATGATGGACCCCAGCCCCTCGAAGACCCCCATCACCCTCCTCGGGACTCGCACGCTTTCTTCCACCACCTCTAGACTCTCTGCAGCCCTTGCAGCCACCACCCACCACAGCCCCCAGCAGCCCCCAGTGGGGGCCTCTCATGGGGAAGAGTCCACCATGTAAGCCGGTCACTGTGTCCGGGAGACTCAGAAGAGAGGACACTCTGCCAGTGGCTCCAAGGGTGAACCTAGTGGGGATGCCTGGGCTCCCTCCTGCAGGGGCCCTGGTGAGGATGGAAGAACCCCAAGGCTGGATGTAACCTTGTTCCCAGGAAGTGTTTGGAATGTGCTGTAAGAACGGAGGAAGTGGTTTCCACTGTCAGCATCCTCCCTGGACCGCGTGGCCAGCTCATCTTTTGAGAAGGGTCAGGGGCTGCCAAGTTCTCCTAGAGGAAGAGACACGTCCGGCTGGGATTCCACTCACTGGGACTGTACCGCCAGGTGTCATGCGTCCCCCTGAGGTTTCCTGATTAAAGGTTGTCTCTGTTTCCCCAGGCTGCACTGCTCATTCACCACTTACCTGTGGGAAGGTGGGAAACGTGGCCCCAAGCCCACAGGTGGTTAGTGAGCGCCCACCTTTACCCCACTGCTGGGGAGAAAAGCTGGCACTAAATTGTGACTGGGCTGGGAAAGGGTCTCCTGTAAGCACTTGGCGGCCTTTTATATTGGGGAGACTTCTTTTTATTTTTTTCCCCAAGATCATGATTTTAGTTTCTGTTTCTTTTTTTTACTTTTATTTTAAGTTCAGGGGTACATGTGCAGGTTTATTATATAGTTAAACTCGTGTCACAGGGGTTTGTCATACAGATTATATTATTTCATCACCCAGGGATTAAGCTTAGTACTCATTCGTTATTTTTCCTAAGTCTCTCCCTCTACCCTTCCTCCACCCTTCCGTAGACCCCAGTGTGTGCTGTTCGCCTTTATGTGTGCATGTGTTCTCATCATTTAGCTCCCACTTATAAATGAGAACATGCTGTATTTGGTTTTCTCTTCCTGCATAACTTTGCTAAGGATAATGGCCTCCAGCTCCATTCATGTTCCTGCAAAGGACATGATCTCATTCTTTTTTATGGCTGCATAGTATGTATACCATAGAATACCATGCAGACACTGGGGGGCTTCCACAGTGAGAAGGGAAAAGATGATGGAGGGGACTTGCTTCTGGGAAGGAATCTCTGAGACTAAATGACAGGCCAGCAGTTTCTTTTTTGACACGGAGTTTCGCTGTTGTTGCCCAGGCTAGAGAGCAATGGTGAGGCCTTGGCTCACTGCAACCTCTGCCTCCCGGGTTCAAGCAGTTCTCCTGCCTCAGCTTCCTGAGTAGCTGGGATTACAGGCACCCACCACAACACCTGGCTAAGTTTTTGTATTTTTAGTAGACATGGGGTTTCACCATGTTGGCTAGGCTGGTCTTGAACTCCTGACCTCAGGTGATCTGCCTGCCTTGGCCTTCCAAAGTGCTGGGATGACAGGCGTGAGCCACCGCACCCAGCCGGGCCAGCAGTTTCTTAAGACGTGTTTTCAGCATGAACACCTGTGGGCAGAGGGGAAGGAGCGGGGAGGGAGAGTAGGGCTGCTGGGCCTTCTCGAAGCCCCAGCCAGCCCCCTCTGGGAGCTCTGGGGCTAGGCTGGCCCTTCAGAGCTGTCCTGAGCTGGGGCCACGGGGCAGGGCTTTCTGCGGAGATTGATCCTTCAGTCCTAGCAGGGGGATCTGAGCAGTGCAGCACAGTGTGCATGAGAGATGGGAAGAGGACAGTGCCATCATGAATGGGAGAATGAGGATTTGTGATAAGGGAAGTGATGTGGGGCTAGGAAGCAGAAGCTGCCCTGTCACCAAGTCACCACTTGCTACCATTTTTTTTTTTTTTTTTTTTGAGACAGGGTGTTGCCCTGTCACCCAGGCTAGAGTGTAGTGGCATGATCAGGGCTCACTGCAGCTTCAACTTCATGGGCTCAAGCCTTCCTCCCACCCCAGCTTCCCGAGTGGGTGGGATTAGAGGCACATGCCACCACGCCTGTCTAATTTTTAAAAAATTTTTGTAGAAACGGGGTCTCGCTGTGTTGCCTAGACTGGTCTTGAACTCCTACGCTCAAGTAATCCTCCCACTTCAGCCTCCCTGAGTACTGGGATTACAGGCACGCAGCCCCACACTTGCTGCCACTGAAACCCATGGAGGCTGCGGAGTGAAAGCACCCCCAGGGCATGGCCTATCACTTTGCCGAGGCCGCCCTCTTCTGAGCCCTTCTCTATCCTGCTGCTCACTCTGTGTCCCAGGGCGAAGCGTCTGCTGAAGTGTTCCCTGGCTGCAAAGGCAACCTGGTATCCAGTCGGGATGACAGTGTAGTCAGGCCTCTCACCTGAGCATGGTGGCAGGAATAATGAATGTGGGAGATAGGAGCATGGAAACCAAAGAGTTTGGAGAGGCAAAGGACTTAAGAGACTGTTTTGTCCAGTAAGATACAAAGGGTCATGGTCATGAGTGAGGTCTGGGGCCTATGAAACTCAAGTGTGAACCTCGCTCTGCTGGACTAGCTGTGGGATATTAGGTCTCTGCTCCCTTATTATTTTTTGAGATGGAGTCGTGCTCTGTCACCCAGGCTGGAGTACAGTGACGTGATCTTGGCTCACTGCAACCTCCGCCTCCCAGGTTCAAGCGATTCTCCTGCCTCAGCCTCCCGAGTAGCTAGAATTACAGGCGTGCACCACCATGCCCAGTTTTTGTATTTTTAGTAGAGACAGGGTTTCACCACGTTGGCCAGGCTGGTCTCAAACTGACCTCAGGTGATCTGCCCGCCTTGGCCTCCCAAAGTGCTGGGATTACAAGCATGAACCATCGTGCCTGGCTTTTGCTCCCTTATTTGGACAATGGGGATAATAACAGGCCTGCTTTATGGAGTTGTGACATTGACGTGTGATAATGCCTCCGTAAGTCTCAGTGGTTTACACTTGTGGCCCTGTGGCCCCTAAGCTTGCTACAGCCCACCGGGCTTGGTGATGCCACGTGGGGTCTGATTTCAGGATGAAAGCCTAGAGTGCTCATTGCCCCCATGCTGCAACTTTTCAAACAAGTCCATCTGTCAAAATGATAGTGGCTAAAAATTAGTGTCAATTTCCTCATTGCTATTCTTTTATGCAATAAGTTAGCATGCAATTTAAGTTTAATACTAGTCCCCCCTACCTGCCTCTGCAAATAGGACTCATGTCAATAATGTTCATTTTGAATGTTAAAGAAAAGGAGTCTGGGCACTGTGGCTCATGCCTGTAATCCTGGCACTTTGGAAAGCTGAGGCAGGTGGATCACGAGGTCAGGAGTTCAAGACCAGCATGACCAATATGGTGAAACCCCATCTTTACTAAAAATACAATGGTGGTACGTGCCTATAGTCCCAGCTACTTGGGAGGCTGAGGCAGGAGAATCGCTTGAACCCAGGAGGCAGAGGTTGCAGTGAGCCGAGATCGCGCCACTCCACTCCAGAGCCTGGATGACAGAATGAGACTCCATCTCCAAAAAAAAAAAAGAGTCGGGGGCGGTGGTTCTCGCCTGCAATCCCAGCACTTTGGGAAGCTGAGGCAGGTGGATTGCTGTGAGCTCATGAGTTTGAGACAAGCCTGGGCAACATGGCAAAACCCTATCCCTACAAAAAATACAAAAATTAGCCAGGCGTGGTGGTGCATGCCTGCAGTCCCAGCTGCTAAGGAGGCTGAGGCTGGAGAATCACTTGAGCCCAGGAAGCAGAGTTTGCAGTGGGCTGAGATCACACTACTGTGCTCCAACCTGGGTGACGGAACAAGACCCTGTCTCAAAAAAAAAAAGAAAGAAAGAAAGAAAAAAGGTTAGTGGGGGGTGGGGCAAGGGGACAGCTGTAAACAATTTTCCTAAGTTTTTCCAAGTATAAAAACAGGCTTAACTGGACTGTTCCCCATCCAGTATCACAGCTGAGAAGCAGAGGCTCAGAGAAGTTAGGAGAGTGTTCTAAGGCTACACAGATTATGACGGCTGAATGGGAGGAGAGCCCCATTCTTCTGACTCCCAGTCCAGGCATTTTTCCTTCGCTTCACATGTCACCTGATGAGGTTTTCCTGCTGGCGTTTGGAGACACAGCTGATGGCCCACAGTTGAGAAGGGTCCCTGTGAACACTATTTGAGTTTGGGTTCCCCCTAAAGCAGACTCGGAGATGGTATTCGGATGAGAGCCAAGAGAAAAAGACCAGGGGGCATTGATGAGCCGGTTACAGCTATAGGCAATTGGCACTTTGTCCTTCTAGGGACCCTCTGAGAGAATGTGGAGCCCATGCCTTGCCTCAGGATTGTCCCCCAAGGGTGTGAAGATGCACCAGTAGTTGTCCCTCAGCTTTCGTCCCTCACTGGTGGAGCCTCGTCCTGGGCTCTTGGCTCTCTAGCACACCCAGCTGGCCTTGCCATAGTACTGAGCCTGCCTTTCTGCTCGTCCCCAGGCACCAGAAAACTCCTGGGGCAGAGGTGCAGGAGCCATCGGTGGAGGGCTGGGCCAGGTAAGAACATGTTCTGTCCACGATAAACCACAGTGCACCAGGAGGCAGGAGTCCACCTGAAGCCTCCAGCGGGGTGTGCAGTGCCTTTAATGGGATGAGCTGCTTTGAATTCTCAGGAGCCTGAGCTCCAACAAGCAAGGGGGTGTTTGTTCTTGGATGGAGACACCCTGCATTTTTCCTGAGCTAGGATTCCACTTTCAGGGTTCTGAGAAACAGAACAGAATGGGGGTGTGTTGGAAGCCTATTCTATGGCCTCAGTTTCCCTTGCACCTGGGAGCTTCCCAAAGGGCAGAATGATCAAATCTGTTTCAAGAGACCTGATTTTGAAGGTTATTAGATGCATGGCCTGAAGGCAAGTCAAAGTAGGTTTCTAAGTAGGACAAACTTCCAGAGGCTCAAAATCACATAATTCACTTTGTTTTTTTAACTTACCTTCTTTCTAAGATCTTTCCGAGGCTGGGCGCAGTGGCTCACATCTGTAATCTCAGCATTTTGGGAGGCCAAGGTAGGTGGATCATGAGGTCAGGAGTTCCAGACCAGGCTGGCCAACATGGTGAAACCCCATCTCTACTAAAAATACACAAATCAGCTGGGTTTGGTGGCAGGTGCCCGTAATCCCAGCTATTCGGGAGGCTGAGGCGGGAGAATTGCTTGAACCTGGGAGGTGGAGGTTGCAGTGAGCTGAGGTCGCGCCTCTGCACTCCAGCCTGGGAGATAGAGCAAGACTCCATCTTAAAAAAAAAAATCTTTCCATCTTAGCACCTAGTGAGCACATTTGCTTTTTCCTTTTACAGCTGTACATTGTGTGGATGCAGCGTAAACTGTTGAAGCAACCCCTGTGGATGGACTTTTCGGTCATTTCAAATCTTGCTTTTCCACATGATGCTGCAAAGAATCATGTCCTTATATCGTTTCACACATGTACAAGTGTATCTTTAAGGTGAATTTCCAGAAGTGAAGTTACTGAGCCAAAAGGCATATGGTTTTTTTTTTTTTTTTTTTAAATGGAGTTTCACTTTTGTTGCTGAGGCTGGAGGGCAGTGTGGTCATCTCCTCAGCTCACTGCAACCTCCGCCTCCCAGGTTCAAGCAATTCTCCTGCCTCAGCTTCCCAAGTAGCTGGGATTACAGACATGTGTCACCACACCTGGCTAATTTTGTATTTTTCTTGTTGTTTTGAGACGGAGTCTCGCTCTGTTACCCAGGCTGGAGTGCAGTGGCGCGATCTTGGGTCACTGCCAGCTCCGCCTCCTGAGTTCACGCCATTCTCCTGCTGCAGCCTCCCTGCTAATGGGACTACAAGCTCCCACCACCACAACCAGCTAATTTTTTGTATTTTTCGTAGAGGCCCAGTTTTACTGTGTTAGCCAGGATGGTCTCGATCTCCTGACCTTGTGATCCGCCAACCTTGGCCTCCCAAAGTGCTGGGATTACAGGTGTGAGCCACCGTGCCCGGCCTAATTTTGTATTTTTAGTGGAGAAGGGGTTTCACCACGTTGGCCTGGCTGGTCTCAAGCTCCTCACCTCAGGTGATCCGCCTGCCTTGGCCTCCCAAAGGGCTGGGATTACAGGTATGAGACACTGCGCCCGGCCAGCATATGCTTCTTTAATTTTGATAGAAACAGCCACATCATGCTCCTTAGGGTGGTGCCAATTTACACTCCCAGCAATGTGTGGAGTGATCATTTGGGACCGGTGAGGATGGATGGGGCAAGAGACCTGTGAGATTAAAATAGGACGAGTGTGAATGAAAAGAACGGAAGGAGCTGTGCTTAGACCCCCAAGGCCCTTAGAGGAAGATGCATGAAGCGGAGGCCTGAGACTGCAGCAAAGGCTTGTGAATTCATCTTCTCTTGTGCAGCAACATAGGGAGGATCAAATCGGATACACTGGCGCGGGGCTTTCTGGTCAAATGATCTGTCTGATGAGGAAGCTCTTTAGATGCTGGCTGAGTTCAGGAATCCCAGGGTGGGAATGAAAGAAGTGCTGGGAGAGAGAGGCTGAGCAGCAGCTGCTGGGGTTCAGATGAGGGAGGAAGGAAGGATGGGGCCAGGCCCAGGAGAACAGATACGATCCAGGAAAGTCTGAGATCAAGCTCAGCTGAGTTAAAATGAAACAGATCACTTTGCAGCAGGACTTGTCAGAGCCTTTGATTGGGAACTGTAGCTGGTGAACCCTGGGGAAGGGCCTAGAATGTAGTGTGTTCTGTACTTATTTTGAAACTATGTTTTCCATTGTACGTTTTGCTACCAAGCTCAGTCTGAGAAACTGCTCCATTTCCTCTTTACCTTTCTAGGGAATGTATGCTACTGAGCATTCTTAATTCTCTGTCTCACAGCCTCTGCTCAGGGAAGTGGAACACCATTCTGTTTGGTTACAGACGGGGAAACAGATGTGTTCAGGGTCTTGTGCCTGGGACCTTGCGGGAGATTGACAGTGAGTCTTGGTCACCAGCGAATCACAGGGGCGTCTTGGAAGATTGTGGGCTGTCAGCTTCTTCCACTTCTCCTGTCCATGTCTTGTAGACAACACTGCCCTGTCCTGTCTACTTAGGGACATCGCCATTAGTGTCCACCTCTCCTGTCTCTCCTGATTGCTTTCCTTTCCTCATGATCTCTCAGAGATGGAGTCCTGCTCTGTTTCACACGCTAGAGTGCAATGGTGCGATCTCAGCCCACTGCAACCTCCACCTTCCGGGTTCAAGCGATTCTCCTGCCTCAGCCTCCCGAGTAGCTGGGATTACAGGCACGCACCACCACGCCCAGCTAATTTTTGCATTTTGAGTAGAGACAGGGTTTCACCATGTTGGCCAGGCTAGTCTCAAACTCCTGACCTCAGGTGACCTGTCCATCTCAGCCTCCCAAAGTGCTGGGATTACAGGCATGAGCCATTACGCCCAGCCTTGTCATGATCTCTTATTGGCTTGGGAGAAGTAGGAAGTTGACTCCCATAACTAAGAGCTTCAGTGCCCTATTTTTACTTTTCTTTCTTTCTTTTTTTTTTTTTTTTTTGAGATGGAGTCTCTCTGTGTCGCCCAGGCTGGAGTACAATGGCACAATCTCAGCTCTCACTGTCCCTTCTATGAGAAGACAATGAGCCCAGCATGTTTGGCCCCCAGGTACAGATACGATCCAGGAAAGTCTGAGATCAAGCTCAACTGAGTTAAAATGAAACAGATCACTTTGCAGCAGGACTT